GTACGCCGTTGACCTGTCGACGAACATAAGCAAACTCGCTCGACTCCGTTGCAGCGGGATCGCCAACCTGCTGTGCGGAGATAGACAGAGAAACGACAGCTCTCTGTTACTCCACCATAGCCCGACCGTAACCGTGGGCCAGGACGTAACAAATCTTTCTACCGCTTATTGGACTTATAGACCGACAAAATATAAAGACGCTTTTTTTTATAAACCAATTGAAGCAGCTATTTCTTCATGCTTTCTTTTATTACGTAGCACGACTAATGTAAATTCATGCGGATGAGTCAAAGATACATGTGCCAATAGATTTGTAGCATGATTTTCCTAAAGATATATTTTATTTAAAAAATAATCGACGTCTAGTATATATAAATATATTTAAAACTACTTACAGTAACTTCATGTCTACAATCATTAACTAAACATAATGATTTGTTGCACGATGAATCATATACTGGAAATACTCGTGTACAAAATTTGCTTTTCTCTGGCCCATGTTTTCGTATTGGACAAATTTATATATAAATTGTAAAAATCGTCTTCTGTTAGTTTCTTAATATAATATTAATCGCTTAAAAAGTGTTATCAACATAATGACAACACTTATAGTTTTAAGATATTACTTTTAAAAAATCACGAAAAAGTTATCGGTAAATATAGGTAAATATGGGTAAATATACCGGTATTATCGTATACCGGTATGACGTCATACCGATATATCTGCATTTCGGTTTGCATAAGGGTTTTCATACCATTACCCAAAAATATCGGTAAAATACCGGTATTTTACATACCGGTATAAGTCCCTGGTTTTAATGGCCATTGGAAAAATTGAGAAGAAAACTGAAACAATGTAAATATAGTAATATGATCTCATACTAATTTTATTAAAGATTTGCACTACATTAATATATATGTGTAAAATAGTTTGTAAGGTTTTTTTGTGTTGATTTTATTTTGAGATTTATCTTTGTTAATAATTTTCAAAGATTTAAATAACAAGTTAATAGACTTATGTTTAAATTATGTTTTTGTTTGTATAATTAGAACGACTGATTAATATTGTTGTTAATTTTATTTTAATAAAGTTCCTATTTTGTATGTATAATTATATTTTACTTTTATTCCGCGTGATTGTACCTATTAACCTAATCTAATTTAACAATAAGAAATAGTTAAAAGTGTCTGAATTTCAACTGGAAGAATCCGGTTTTAATGCTGTCTATCCTAGATTAGTGAACTTACAGATGGCAGCCCTACTCATGCGGCATGCGTCACATCGGTCTCTTTTAACAAAATCTTTCTTCGAGATAATATGAAAAACTGGGCACGGGGGTTGTGGGCTCGGAGAACGATTGTGGCAGAACGTAACTTCCGCCGGGCGCTACCCAGCAAGCAACCTCACGTAATAATGATGTGATCATAAAGTGATTTTGATGACTACGACCTTAAGTAACATAAATGGTATATTATTTTGACGTCATTTACAATACCAAAAGTTGACGTCGCCGATATGACGTCATATATCAACTTATATATATTGAATTTCAAAATGACATCAATAAAACGATTAAATGAAGTTCTAACAACAATCTTGAGTTAAATTCAACCGTTAATTATAATAATATGTTTATTATATATATTTATATATATATTTATTAATAACATTTGTTTTTTTGAATAATATTATATCTTTAAATACATTATTTATAGATAAGTATAGCCATTTATTTATAGATAAGTAGCCACGTACACTTTGGTAAACTGATTACTTTTTATATATTAAATTTATTAAAAATAACATAATATNTTATTATTATTATTATTAGTATTATTATTAATAATTTTAAATTGTAAATTGTAATTGTAATTGTATTTCCATTTTTGTATGGAAATTTTTAACAAATTTAGATATTGATAAATATGTCTATGTGTATTTTGTTACTGGTCTTAACTATATTAATTATTGTTACTGTTTTTAATTATATAAACCAAAATAAAATAATTTAAATAATATTAAGTTTCTGTGCGGCAGTTTTTTATAAACATTATATTATTAAAAAGTGTTATCAATATAATGACAACACTTATAGTTTTAAGATATTACTTTTAAAAAATCGCAAAAAAATTATCGGTAAATATAGGTAAATATGGGTAAATATACCGGTATTATCGTATACCGGTATGACGTCATACCGGTATATCTGGATTTCGGTTTGCATAAGGGTTTTCATACCATTACCCAAAAATATTGGTAAAATACCGGTATTTTGCATACCGGTATAAGTCCCTGCTAATAGGTACATTTTTTTAAGTTCTACAACTTTGCTTCTTATAAATTTTTTTGCTAGAATTGATCGTTTTCGAGATTTTTTAGCGTTACCGGACTTTTTGGAGACCCTGTATATATACACAGTAGTTCCTCGCTAATGATCCCCTCCTCAATTTGGCGAGCGGACCGATGTCGATGGAGATATTGTTCCGAGAATTGCCAGCTGTTATCTCTGATTGGTTCGACCACTACAGAGTCATTTCTACTAATTCGCGAAGCCTCGACGAAGCAATTCTAGGAATTGGTAGAGATGATTCCCAGTACAATACCAAGAGAAAAATTCGGACCGTTAGCAAAGAACTACTGTATATGTATATACATATAAACTTATAATTAAACAAGTAAAAATATTAAAATAGCAGTATCTGCATGTATTGTATGTGTAGCGCGAAGCACTACTGTGCCTCTAAATATATATATATTTATGTTTATGTATATTTATAGGCAAATCCACCGTAATTTTAACTTTTGATGGACTTTTTTATACTGATGAATCTGAGTTGTTTTTCATATGCACAAGAGTAGTTTTTCTTTGTATATTATCTAATAATAACTATGTATAAAAATGCAGAGCGTTCGTGTCATTGCTGGCGTTTAAAAGTACACTAAGTCGGTAAAAATATAGAAAATCGTAAAATTTATTTTGTCCTTTTCGAATTTGTGTTTCACTCTTAATAACTTTGTACCTGCGCTGTGTTACAGTAGAACTCCAGTAATTTTAAACACTACAATTTCGACTTCTCCTTGATAGGCGGGCCAATAGTTTCTCCCACTGTTCATGATTCCCCGATATTCTTGAGTGACTGCGCAACTCGTAGAATGCGCAGATAACAAAGAGAGAAACACGATGACTGTATCTTTCGTCTCTTGCTACCAGTTGGTCGCTGGAAGCGGAAGAAAATAATTTTGAATTCTAGGAAGAATCAGTCCCATGCCCCAGTCTATCAGCCCCATCAGAGATGCCAGATCGTGCCGGACAACATCGAGAGTATCGAAGCGGGTGTCCCCACCGTCTCGATGCTCTCGTACGCATACAAGCAAAAACAGCGTCCGTGTGCGGTTCTCGCTTGTATGCGTACGAGAGCATCAAGGCGGTAGGGATACCCCGCTTTTGATACTCTCGATGCTGTCCGGCATGATCTGGCATCTCTAGTCTCATGTGCTCGAAATTACTGGAGTACTACTGTATATATAACGCTTTCGTAATAAATGAAAAAGTTAGTTATGCATTCATACATCTTTTTTCCCTGGAGGTCGATCATATGCCATGTAACTGTAAAAAATGGTGGTTGCTGAAAAACTTGTCCCTCCAGTTTTGCAAAATATTTAATTTTTGTAAAGATAACAATATTACATACGCGTCGTTAAATTAATAATTGACTAGCTTAGTTCCTGAAAGTGTGGCAAACACAAAACCGAAAAATTTAAGACGTTGTTGAAAATTGTGCCTCAAAAATGAAACACATAGTGTATCAAAGATTCCCTTCAACAGCGTAAATTCATTGAAAAATCTACAAATCACTTTGGCACATAGTCCGAGAAAAACTTTTTCAGTCTATATCAACTGTAAACTCTTTTTTATACCATAACTTATCACGGAATCTATGTGGTCACAATTTTCAAACCCAATTTTATTAGTTATGACATTAAAAGTGCGTAATTTAAAAATGGTTGCATTGTAAAACCGGAAAGAAATATAAGTCGACCTCAATTAGATAAACTTTGCGCCGTTTACTTAAAGCCATTAACGTGTAGATTGGTGTTCTTCAACCTATTTCAGACACATTTGTCAATATAAGATGTATGTGACGCACTTTTGAAAAAAAAAATAAATACATTTTCATAAAAGTTAAAACTACGGTGGATTTGCCTATATCTATTTTTATTAGTAATTTTACATATAAAATATCCATATTCCATATACTTTTTATGGAAGTTGTTATTATTGAATTTCTAGTATCATGTAAAATATCAGAAATGGAAAAATGTGAAGGTGAGGCAGTAGCTAATAATAGGAAAGGAAAACTTATTTTTTTTTATGAATGGAATATTGTTCTAAAATGGATATCTAATGGAAAATCAAGTAAGAAAATTGAGGGTAAAATAAATATTCCTAATCTCTCTGAAGAAAATGATATTAATGAAGTTGATGTAAGTATTTGGTACTTTGACATATGATTAAAAATTGTGAGAGAAATAGAAAATAAGTATCAAAGAATTTTATCACTTTGAGAGCCATACAAAGGATTTATGTGCGAAATATAATTCTTAACGTGTAAGTTAATACACAAAAAATTCTAATTGATCAACAATTCTAAAATTCATATAAGATGCTACTTTGCTTGCTGACCAAGAGTCTTTTTGCAATGAATTTTGTAAATTTTATGAAGAGTTAAATGAATTATTCACATATGTGATACAAAGTAACATTTTATATAAATTTTATAATTGTTATTTAATTCAAATTTTCTATATGTATTAGTTTACACGTTAAAAATATATTTTGCACATACATCTTGCCTATGGCTTTCAAAGTATCATTGTGTTAATTTATACTTGAAAGAGCTATATATTTTATTTTTTTAAGAATTTTAATAAATTACACACACGCATATGCTCATACATATTGTGGTCTTCTTTTTTATAGATTGAAATAACATTAAAAGATAGTACTGATGAAGGAGAGCAAATAAAACAATTTTTACATACAAAAGGGAAGGATACAATAAGAGAAAAGTTAAAAAAATATGTTTCTTCTTTAAAAGAAGGTAAAACAAAATTTTTTCAATTATTACTTATACGTAAACGGTGATGATTATATTTTTGATGTAACTATGATGCAGCATTTGTTTATTTATTTTTGTTGATTTGTAGAATTTACAAAAGGAATGATACTTCCCAAAAAGGATAATGTAAAAGAAAACATTTTAAATATAACATCTGGTTTTAATGCTAAAGTAAGTGGAAGACTGGATTTTGAAATGTAAAAATAAGTATCTATAACTAATATAAGTATAAAAATATAATTAAACTAATAAAAGTATCTATAACTAATATAAATATCTATAACTTTTTTCTCTTTTAAGATGCAAATGAATACAGCAGTGAAATCCACAAATAATAAAACAATTGGATGTAAAATCTCGACCACTTCTATTAATCAACAGATAAAGTTCCAATGTAGGGCAGAAGAGTTTTACAATGTCTTTTCTTCGCCTGAGGTAATAATATTACTATTATATATTTTTAGTTAGTACAATTTAAGTCAGTAGCAACAAGATCTTCAATTGGTTTTAGATGGTACAAGCTTTTACAAAAAATCCAGTAAAGTTAGAAGCGAAAAAAAATGGTTATTTTGAACTTTTCGGTGGCAACATCCATGGTGAATTTGTCGAGATTACACCGACAAAAATAATTCAAAAGTGGCGTTGTAAACAATGGCCGACTGGACATTTTAGCGAGGTAACAATTGATATCAATGAGAAAAATGATCATACTGAGGTTAATTTATTGCAGACTGGCGTTCCACTTAGGTAAGCGTGAAAGCGATGTTTTTTTTAATGAGTTGTAAATTTCTCGGAATTGTATTGACAAGTAAAATTATGTATAAAAACATTTATGTATGAATTTCAGCGAAGAAGCCTCTACAAAAGAGAATTGGGATAGGTATTATTGGGACGCTATAAAACGGACCTTCGGTTTTGGATACTTTATGTGATCCAAATTTGCTGTATTTATTTATTGCTAAGTAGAACAATCGCGAAGAGCGCGCGTATTACCGCGCGAGTGCTTGACTTCTGCGGGAGCATAGATGAATCTACGCGATGGAAAAGGTGTGCCAGGATATACGCACAGATATACTCTGTTCTTTCTTCGTATAATTTGGTACCGCCTCGTGTAAGACTATTATAATATTGTTGCGCGTAGTGTCGTGTGACATTACACAGCGATTGTACGTCTTTTTCTTTAGATGTATGTGTCTAATAAATCATAAGATATAAAACAGTAATTTCTAATCTGTTCTTTCTGTATGAGAACGACCGTTGTATCGAGCCTTATTCCTTCAAATCACACAATGTCACGGCTTGAGTTAAATCATCCAGTTGTAGATATATAATCACTGCTAACTTCGCCACGAATATAGAAGAATACAAGTGTACTTGTAAAAAGACAGGCCGATAACGCAATCAGTCTTCTCATAAAAAGAACCGAGTATTTTGCGGTAATGTTATAAAACTTATTTAAAATAATTATGGTAATGTTATATATAAAAATTATTTAGAAATAATTTTTAAAAGCGAAAAAGAATCTAATATTACATCAAATTCGGATTATTGTGATATACATCGCGCCACATTTATATGATTAATAATTAAAAGACGCGAGTAAATACAAAAATCGTTTTGTATTAAAAGTCGTAAACTTAAAGTATAATAAATCTCTTTTTTGCGGTTTGCTTTTCATTAGAACAGGACCAATGTCCTCGGCGGCTAGACGGGAGCGGCATGAATGGGCAGATCCAGAGAACGCCAAGTGCGCGTGCCTTCGAAAATCAAAATCAATGTAGTCCGCCGTCGTTCGCACCGTCGGTCTGCTTGTTCGCTTGCGAGTTGCCCACGCCCTTAGTATGCCTCGCAGTCCCAGCGCGGTCGTGTCGGAGTATCCGGAGTGCAGTACCGTTTATCGTTTCCCTATCTCTGTTTCTCTCTTGTACTTTTTCTTTGTTACTCATACAGTCACACAAGTGCTCGCTGAGATACATACATATACTTTACTTATCCCCACCTTTATTTTTGAACTCTCTCATTCCTCCCACGTTTCTAATCCCGCTTGTCCTCTTTTCTCTCGACCATCTCTTCGTTTTTCTTTTCAGATCTGTTCTCTCTCTCTCTCTCTCTCTCTCTCTATATATATATATATATATATATCAAGTGATTTTGCTTGACTGACTTAGTCGAGGGATGCGAATGAGAGAAAAAAATCGAGATTTATACATATACATATATATATATATATCGAGATTTATACATATATATATATATATATATATGTATAAATCTCGATTTTTTTCTCTCACTCGCATCCCTCGACTAAGTCAGTCAAGCAAAATCACTTGAGAGACAGAAAGAGAAGGAGAAAGGGAAGGGTAAATTACCTTCCTCGTCCGAGAAGCGCTCTCTGTCCATCACTACTACTATTACAGTCTCAGTCTTTATTCCGATCTCGTACTAGGACCATCAGCGAGCTCGCGATTTACGCGTGGAGCATCCCTTCGTTTAATGCGGCTCCACTTACGCGCACTCCCTTTTCTCTTCCTATCTTTCTCTCTTTTTTTCCTCCGAGTTTTCCCTCTTTTTCTCTCGATCGTATTTTTGCAATTTCCTTTTACATTTTATCTTTTCGTTCTATCTAACATTATCTCTTTTTCGTGCAGAGCACGCGTATATTCGCAAGCATCCGTGTTCCGTCTCTTACGTTAATCACGCGTGTTCTCTCCTCCCCCCGTTTATGCTACTGTCAGTCAGTCAACGACAATCTAACGGAATTGTGTTATACACGCGACACGTAGCAGCCTTTGCAACAACCAGAATTGGCAACAACCTTCGTCGACAAGAAAAAGCGCTGTCTCGTCGTCTTTATCACCGTCATCATGATGATTGCGGGTCGGTGCTTGTCCTCGTGCGAATCCTATTGTAGGTGATATGGGGGTATGCCGCGCGCGTCGATTACACACGACAGACATGTGAGTGCTAGAGTGTCTTCTCTTTTACCTCTCTCCCCTCTTCTTTTCCCTCTTCCTCTTGGCATCACTGCCACCCCTGCAGTCCGCCGCTTCTAACTCCCGCCCTTGCGATTCCCTGCGCACCCTCCGGTGGAGGAAAGCACGGCGAAAAAGCGGAGCTCTCTCGCAACACGCGCGACTCGTAAGAGAGAAAGATCTCTGGCGGCGGGCAGCACGACTACGTTGACAGGAGGTTGTCGCTTACTTGCTCGTTTGCTTACTCTCTCATGTAAGAGAGGATCTCCTTTCATCTATCGCATCGCATTGCATCGCATCGCATCGCATCATCGCCACCGTCACTGTCTCGCGCCAGGAACATCGAGAGGATGCGTGACGCACTCGGGCGAGTATAGCTAGGGAGGGGGTGTAGTGGACGGCTTCTCCTTATTTTCTTTCTTGTTTTCTTCTTCTAACACTTTTCTTTATATTATTTGCTGTCGCGCGATTATCAGATCGGCAGATCTCAAATCTCAGCATCGTGAAAGTCGAGGTATCGGTGTCGGTCTCTCATGTTGGGCGGATACGGCAAACGAGCCACCCTACTTTTCCTTGGGGTAGTTTACTTTCTCGAGGTTGCTTGGACTCTAGTCGCGTCATGCCTCTCGCTCGTCTTTAGCCACGAACTTCAATAACGCTTATTACGGATGCGTAGTTTCTTGGATTTATTTCACATCTGGAATCGGAGATCGTGTTTTCGAATAAATGAGGAATTGTTATACAGTGCGGGGAGAGGCGCGTTCGCGCGCGCGCGCACGCAAACTTTTCTCCAAATAAAGTGTTGGATGTCCGAACAGTGCTTTTGGTTCAGCGTGCCTTAGGTGTGCTGTGAGATACACAAGGAAAAGTGGACTTTTCTGTAAACTTACTTCAGTACGCGAAATAGATTTGAATTTTAACACAATGCTATTGTTATAACAGTTGTTTTATTATTTAACAAAAAAAAAAGAAAAACGTTGTGAGCAAGATCTCGTTATGTCAGTCGTTTGAAAATAATCGCGTCTATTTACGAAGTGTTCTCGACATGAGAATAACGTTGAAGCTTTACCTTCATGAATTTTGTAGAGTGCAAATCGATAGAGATCGAGTATCTATTGTACAATCAAATATACAATCATATGACGTGCGCATTATTCACCTGCACCGTAAACACCTGCGTTTATTTGGACCATTCTCGATTATTTTTAATCATTCTTGATTAATTTCGACTCTATCTTGAAAAACTCTCAACTATGTTTTTCTTATAATATCTGTTTGCTGTAATTGTAGCCTAATTTGCTCTTTGAGAAGCATAAAGCAAATAACCGACGTGACTTTAACGTCGTTATTGTTATCTATTACACAATCGGCGATACGCGTATCAAAAATGGAAATAACCGTTCTAGCAGGTGCAGTAAGTCACGTCGGTTGTTTATCTATAAACATGCATGCGAGATTTTCCGCGTTATTGATGAGGGACATGGTACGTGAGAGTTTTTTAGCGGAGAATTCGAAAATAACCAACGAAGGAGCAGAAGATATATCGTTTTTCATTAAAACAATGTGCGCGACGAGTCGTTATTTTTTCGCAGACGAGCAGATATGCGTGTACGTATTGGTGTACGCCCGATTGCGTGCATGTGTATGTATGTGTAATATGTATATACCTGTAGGATATGAGGAGAGGCATTTATATGCACATCCCGAGCCTGCACGCATATAAAATAATAGATAATTGGCTACTCATAGCCAAGAACATTTAAATTTCACATTTTATTGCTATCTATAAAATTATACGTATACAAACAATACCTGCGCGTTTTCTGAGAAATTATGACATTTCAATGAGGTAATTAATACATATATTTTCTGCTTAAATTTTTATTTAAATTTTTTATTTGTTTATATACACAATGGCGCATTAGAAAAATAATAATATAAAAATTAAAAAAACGTATATGAAATATATCTTAACATTTTGAATAAAAAATTTCAGTCATTATGATTGTATAAAGAAAAAATGTGTCATTATAATTGTATAAAGAAAAAGTTCTAATCAAGCGATATTAATTTATCGATTTTGTTATCAAATGTATGATTTCTCAGAATATATTGTTTATATACAAAGGAATATCTTTTTTCGAATTGCTAGCGCGGTGTTGAACTACTCGCGTTCTAATTTAACATTTGTCTCTTTATGGGCGGAGACGTGCTTCCGCCTGCAATTCACGACTCGTGATCAGTATCGTCGACAATGCACTTCCGGCTTTACGTAAAATTATTATATCCGCGCGAGGACAAATCTACGTGTCGTTCATTTCATTTCTCGTGTTAACAAAATCGTCAATTTTATCAATGCTTTATAGTGCCGAGATATTATATTCGACTTATATGTGCAATAAAGTTTTGCGTAATTTCAAAAGCACGTACACACATATAAACAATAATGCACGTTTTGTAATTAAAAACGATGAAAAAAGAACCCAAAAACCGATTGTCCACTGATGGCGGTGGTAGTAGTCGTTTTTAATTACGTAACCATTTTTTAATTATTTACTTATTTATTTGCACGTTTTGTATTTTTATAGTATGTATTAATTAATGATATTTTGTTTTTTGTATGATTTGCTGAAACTGTTTCTTACTAAAATGTGATATTGCAAAACATCAATATATTTACTAGCAATTTGTAATTGGTTTTTTTCTTAAATATTTATGGCATTCGATATCAATTAAAATCTCCTTGAATCCAAAGATTGACAGGTATTGCAGTCGAAAATCGCAATACGAAGATCGAATCGGAAAACGTAACATTTCGCGTGATGTCAGAATGCAATTGCAGTTCCGGCTACATCTCACGAAAGCTTTGAATTCCTCTGATTCAATCTTGCATCAAGGAGAGGAAGGAGTTCTGTTCTTTTCAGCTGCACTTTATTACACTTTCTGTACTTTAAGTGAACCGACTATAGATTGCGCTGAGGAAGAGAAGGAAAGAAAGGACAAAAAGAAAAAAAGAAACAAATGTAAAGTGCAAAAATATATAGTTGAAGAGAGAACAAATCTATTAGAATCCACGATGAAAATCTGCCGCTTGTTTCGTTTTTCGATTGTGTATGACAGTCGCTAGCGATAATGATAACATATGCAATTTTTGCTTTATCAGAAAACGAAATAATTCATCTACTTTCACATAATTAAATTTGTAAGAGTTCCATATGGACTGAAAAAATCAGACTCTCAGTATGCATATA